GCTGCCGTTTGAACCGAGGCGTTTATACAGCGATCTGTCGCGCCAACACCTCATTTATTGCTTGAATTTCCTGAGAAACCACATCATTTGAAAGATGAGACTTTGTTTCTTATCAAAAGTAACAAAATAACTGTAGTTTGCAATGAAGTTCCGCTCGTGCAGTGGTTAAAACAACGCTGTATTTGTTCGGTACACACGCGCACCGAAGCGAAACACCTGTGTACAGTTGCACCGCTACTATTTATACTACTAAACAACTTAGAACAGGGCACAAGTACACACCGTGTAAGTTTTGAATTCTTATATCTAATATCCATTTATTCTAAATGCTAATTGTGTCATTGTTTTGGAGCACACTAACTTATAGATAACCTTGAGAATAACATATTCATACTAACAGCCAAAAAACTTCCATTTTAATTTCAGGGGGACTTTTACTGAAATAAAATTATTTAAAAAAAAATTATTATTACAGCTAGTTGCCAAGTCAACATTTCTCATTTTCATTTAGTTTATTCTGATGTACTAAAATACCTAAAACTGAGAAGACATAAAAAAAATACTAAAACTAAATAGAAATATAATTTAGTTTATATTTAACTAAATTCAAAATATTAACAAAAACTATATCTCAATGATACTAAAATGACCATCGATTTGATTGGGTGAGCAGTGATTTTAATAGAGGCAGAATCTGTGAGAAGCGTGGGTTTGTCTGTGATGAACACACACGCTGCAGCCGCTGTATCGGTCGGTCTTTATTGGTCTGGATGGCCGGCACACATTCAGCACAGGGTTAGTTGGGTGGTTTGGTGGCGTGAGGGCATCTGGGCTGCCACTCGGTCTGCAGGACCCTGACGCCTCTGTCTGGAGACCAGGACGCCAGCAGCTTCCACTGAACGATCTCCTACAGAACACACACACACACCGTCAACACACACACACATCAGTGTCCACAGACAATGAGTAGTGTTCTGTGTTACCTGCGAGGGGAGGTCATGAAGAAGAACCACAAACTCCAACATCAGCTGCTCCTCGCTCGACTCCTGAAACACACCAGAGTGCTCTTCAGCCTCTCGTTTATGATTCATAACCACACGACAGTAATGTAGATCACTTACAATCACATAATCATGCTTCGCCTGCTCGTATGAGTACTGCTTTCCACATGTTAGAATAACAGTAAAGCGATGAAATGACGCATGATGTAGTGATGAAAACACTCTTCTCTCTGAGCTTCTGTTCATGCTGAACATGCATCAAACACCTTCATCAGGTGCATCATGGGATGCTTTTAGACACTAG